ATGGTGAAGTCCCCAGTCAGACCCCGCCCACGCCGTGCCAGTCACCCTTCACCCCCCCCCCACAAGTAAGCAATAAAAGAATGTTAAAATATTTGAACATTGTTTAAATAAAATATGTTGCGGGGGGGGGGCAAAGCTACCTGGAGCCGTACTGGTAGACCGCGAGCACCAGTTCGCTGGGCAGGCCCAGTAGTGCCAGCAGCTCTTCCACATCATCTGGCCCAGATAGCTCCATATTTAAAAAACACACAAAGAAAATGGAAATATTATTTTAATGGCGACATTTTTATCGAAATATTCAGGGAAGGATAAACGGAGGAACTTGGGAACCTCGCGCCAAAACTTGTTGTCCCGATGAAGCGTCGCTGGAGCCGCTGCGCTTCGGAACAAAAGTGAGACACCAATCCTGCGCCTCCTGAATCGGCCTAATATCGGAGAGCGCAAAGGCAAACAACAGACAAAGCAAAACCAGAAGCTTCGAGCTGAGCGAGACGCACACAACAACTCCACCCAAGCCAAAGAGAGAAGAGACCAAAGGCCAAAGCAAAGAGAGAGGAATCGGCGCGAAAAGAACAAACAAAAGAAACGAAAGAACGAAGCACGACAAAAAAAAGTAGACGAACAAAGAACGAAGAGCGTTTGAGGGGGGAGGGAGAAGGCAATAGGGCGAGAGGAGGAAGAAAAGAAGAGGGGAGACTCTCGGAGAAGATGGCGACCGTGGGTAGTACTAGTACCGACTCGGAGCTCCGAACGTACGCCAACCCCCTGCTACACCTCGCTCCGCCAGAAGAAGAAGAGCCCTCCTCCGCTGCAGCAGCCGCGGCGACGAGCAACAAGCGCTCGCCCAACAGCAAGAAGAGCTCTCGGGGCGGCTTTGCCAAGAAGCTACCGCTGCTCCGACGCACCAAGAGCAACAAGGACGTCCGCTCCACTTCGACCATCGACGGTTCATCATCGTCATCATCGCCACTGTTGGCGTCCTCGCCCGACCGCATCACGCCGCGGCCGCTTCTCCAGCTGCAGCGCGAGGAGCTCGAACGACACAACGCGGCCGTCGCGCCGCAGGGCCTGGCCAAGTGGACGCAGAAGCTGAGCGCCGAGGAGCGCCAGCAGAAGCGGCTGCGCTACAAGAACAAGGACCGGGTCGACATCCCATCAACATCACCACCGACACCATCAGCATCAGCATCGTCATCGCCGAGGTGGGTCGTGGGCAAGACGACCAGGTGCAACTCGTCGGACGACGAGCACCACAACACGAGATGGAATGCGAGGAATGTTGGAGAGCCGTACCAGAGCGACGACGATGAGGACGGCGACGTCGACACAACGAAGAGGGAGCGGCGGGGCGCGGTGGTGGAGGCCTTGGCGCTGTCGCCGCGGTCCGGCCACGGCCACGGCTTCGGCGGCGGACGACCGCCCAACGCGCGGTGCGCGCGAGCCCAGCTGGCAGCCCTGCCCTACGCCCTCACCGCCTTCGAGAGTCCGGAGAGGTGAGCGCCTGGACCGAAGCCGTGGCCGTGTAATTATCACCCAAATATAATAACTATTTTATTTTATTTTATTTTAGTATTTATTTATTTTCGTGTCCTTTTGGCCGATGCTACAGTAGCAAGTGTGAAGAGAGGAGGGTGCTGGTCACCGGCTCCTTCAATGGAAAGGGACCA